TCCCGCACATCCCAGCAGGATTCCTGCATCCCGCACATCCCAGCAGGATTCCTGCATCCCGCACATCCCAGCGGGATTCCTGCATCCCGCACATCCCAGCAGGATTCCTGCATCCCGCACATCCCAGCAGGATTCCTGCATCCCGCACATCCCAGCGGGATTCCTGCATCCCGCACTTCCCAGTGGGATTCCTGCACATCCCAGCAGGACTCCTGCATCCTCCTGCACATCCCAGCGGGATTCCTGCACTTCCCAGCGGGATTCCTGCACTTCCCAGCGGGATTCCTGCATCCTCCTGCACACCCCAGGGGATTCCTGCATCCCGCACTCCCCAGCGGATTCCTGCCCCCGGGAGGACTGTGTCGGGGTGGCGCTCCATCCTCCCATCCCCAGCAATCCCTGAGACACCCTCTGGATAAAAGTCCCACCTCGGGAACCTTCACCGAACATCCCACAGCTAACTGCAGCCTCCCCAGCCGCTCCCCCTCGCTGCTTTCCACCTCGCCCGGGGTCTTTTCCCACCGGAGGATGGGGGCGAGCCCCATTTCCCTGCGGCGCAGGCAGGGGCGGCTCCTGCGGGGCTGCAGCGCACCAGGGCCGGGCTGTTCCCCCAGCTGCGGGAAGGGAAGCGCCGCAGGAGCTCCCGTGCCCGGACACGCCGGTGGAAAAGCAGGTTCCCTGTCCCAGGCTGCTGAATCAGCCCCGGGAGAGCGGCACCGTGGGAACGGAACACGGCCTGGGAAGGGAACGCGGCACGGGGCAGGTTTAGGGTTTCAAAAGAGATGAGCTCATGGGAGAGCCGGGCCCAGGTCCCTTTGCGTGGTGCCCCGTTCCCAGGAGCTACAAACAGCACATTCCCGAAAGCGGGCTGTGCCCGAGGCGTGTCCCAGCTGCTGGAAAACGCCTTCCAGAGCTGCTCTGGGATGGGGAGAGCTCCGCCTGGTCACGGCCCTGCCCACGGGAAGGAGCCTCCCGGGAGATGCTCCTGGCAGGGAGAACAATGGGAGCTCTGCAGGACGCGGAGCAGGGCCCCGCTGGCTTCACGGTGGATTTCACAGCCCTCCAGCCCTGCAGGGCTGTTTGGCCCCGGCTCGGTGACTCAGGGATGCAGCAGAGCAGCAGCTCCGGGGTCACAGCCAGGTCACTGCTCCTTCTGGCACATTTGTTCCAGCGCAGCAGGAGCAGAGAGCGCAGGGCTCTCAAGGAGCCGTCAGATGATGCCCCAGATCCCAGGAGCACAGAAGGGAAGGGTGGAGAGGCCCTCGAGTGTCACCGAGCCCAGCCACGCACCAGCACAGCCGTGCTCCCGCTGAGCTGTGTCCCCAAGTGCCACCGGGGCTGTCACTGCTCCCCTTCAGGGCCATTCTGAGCGCTCAGTGGCACCGCCTGCCCGTGCTGAGGCTCCAGCAGTGCTCCCACAGGCAGACACAGCACAGAAGCTGCTCTGGCATCCCTTGGGATGCTCCCTGTCCCTGCTGCCCTTCTGCTCCCGCAGAGGGAGAACGCTGCCAGCGCTGCAGCAGCAGCAGCCTCCCCTCCCTGCCCTCCCCTCGCTGCCTGTGCCCTTCCCCACAGCATCAGCTGCGCTGCCAGGCTGCTCCCAGCTCCAAAGTGGTCCTGTGGCACCGAGCCTGGCAGGCAGAGCCCCCTCAGGGGCACTCTGGGGCCGTGCCAGCTCCTGTCTGGAGCAGGAGGGCTGGGCTCCCTGCCAGCACAGCCTCCCTCCTCCTCCTCCTCCTCCCAGAGACTCCTTGGCAGGCAGCTCCTTCCCCCTGGGCTGCTGGAGGAGGGCAGGTGTTTCTCATGGGAAGGGATCTTGCACCATCCCTGCGCCTGCTCCCTGCCAGCTGGCACGGGAGGGAGCACCAGGAGCACAGGGAGCGCAGGTGGGGGCGAGACAGCGGCAGGATGCTCCGAGAGGAACTCACCTTGAAACAGAGGCCATCGGGCTCCTCGGACACGATCACCAGCGTGGAGGGGTAGAGCACCAGCAGCCGGTCGTGCTGCTCCTTGGGAAGCAGACAGGGAAAGGGTTGGACCCCTGGGAACAGCCAGAGCTCAGAGCTGGAGAGCCCTTGGCTTTGTCCTTCTGACAGCGGCCTGGGGCAAGGGCTCTGGGAACAGCTTAGATGCTTCCCCGTGCTGGGAGAGGGGTTTGGGAACATCTGAGCTGCTTCCCCGTGCTGGGAGAGGGGTTTGGGAACATCTGAGCTGCTTCCCCGTGCTGGGAGAGGGGCTTGGGAACATCTGAGCTGCTTCCCCGTGCTAGGAGAGGGGTTTGGAAACATCTGAGCTGCTTCCCCGTGCTGGGAGAGGGCTCTGGGAACATCTGGGCTGCTTCCCCGTGCTGGGAGAGGGCTCTGGGAACATCTGAGCTGCTTCCCTGTGCTGGGAGAGGGGTTTGGGGAGAGCCAGGCTGCTCCTCTGCACATCCCTGCCAGCTCCAGCTGCCAGCACTGTCCTTCTGCTGTCCCCAAGCCCCACTGCCAGCCCACAGGAGCAGCACGAGATCTTTTTCCCTTTCCATGTGGGTAAAACACCCCTTGGGAGCTGCTGGATTGGTGGCAGCAGGGAGGCTGCACCAGTGATTCCATCCATGGACCCATCCCTCCATCCATCCATGGATCCATCCATCCATCTATCCATCCATCCATCCATCCATCCATCCATCATCCATCCATCCATCCATCCATCATCCATCCATCCATCATCCATCCATCCATCATCCATCCATCCATCATCCATCCATCCATCATCCATCCATCCATCCATCATCCATCCATCCATCATCCATCCATCCATCCATCCATCATCCATCATCCATCCATCTATCATCCATCATCCATCATTCATCCATCCATCATCCATCCATCCATCCATCATCCATCCATCCATCCATCCATCCATCATCCATCCATCCATCATCCATCCATCCCTCCCTCCATCCCTCCCCGGAGCCGTGTCCTACCTGGAAGGGCAGGTGCTGGAGCTTCACCTTGGAGACACAGAGGATTTCTCCCAGGGATTCCCGCTGGGTTCCTCTCCATTCCTGCACGGGCAGGTTCTGCATGGACCAGCGCAGCTCCTCCTTGTCACCGGTGCTCGGCGTCCAGCCGCTCTAGGGACAGCACACCCTGAGCACGGGCACTCCCCTGCCTGCAGCAGGGCCTGGCCCACCTGGGGACACTTTTTTGGTGTGGCAGGAGCAGGAAAGAATAAATAAATCTGGGCAGGGGGCAGTTTTCCAGCTGGGAATGGATAACTACTCCCCACAGCCAGCATTGCCTGGAAATGCCTTTCCAAGGGGGATATTCTGTTGTGGGGAGGGAATTAGAACACCCTCAGAGCCTGGGAGAGACAATCTCCTCAATCTGGGCCTGTTTCCAGCCTTCAGCCTCCTCCTCCTCCTCCTCCTGATGTTTTGCAAGCTCTGGCTGGTTGCACAAGCACCCAAAAGCGTGAGAGCTTCTCTGAGCCAGAGCCGAGCTCCGACCCACGGAGGTTGTGCTGCTGCTGGTGGCACCCATGGGCGGCAGCTCTTCCTTCCAGCACACCCCTCCCCTGCCAGCACTCTCTGACCCCCCTTGCAAGCTCTTTTTGCCCCCTTTTTCCCCAGGAAAGCCCCCCCAAGGGAATCCATCCCAGCTGGGAGCCGGCAGTGGGACACAGCCATGGGACACCCACCTGGGACAGCAGGGGCAAGGCCAGGTCCCCTCCACAGAGCTGGATCTGCTTCTCCAGGTGGTAGAGCCACTGCTTCAGCTCGGCCTCCGACGAGCAGAACACGACCAGGGGGTTCAGCAGAGGTCCTGGGGCAGGGGGGAGGCAGTGAGCAGGGATTGCAGCATCCAGCCGGCACAGCTGGCACTGCACAGCCCTCCCACGGGGTGAGGGGACACCCCTGTCCTGCTGCCACCACTGCCAGCCCTTCCTGCCACCCTCTTGTCACATCAAGACAAGAGCAAGGCTGCTCCAGCCCCTTCTCAGGTGCACCAAGCCCTGACCACCAGACGCTTTTTAACCCCAAACCGGGCTAAGAACAAATCCCAAGGACGGCACAAAAGCCAAGCCTGATGCCCACAGCTGGATTTCAGCTTTTGCCCCCAGCAGTTTGTGGGCAGCCTCTCTGGGGCAGGGACCGTCCCAAGGCGCTGCTCCCTCAGCAGAAATCCCTGCCTTATCTCCCAGCCTCACCTTGGCTCTGCACAGGGAGAGCACCAGCAGCTTCCTGACACTGTTTGTTTATTGCCTCACTGAACACCACCTGTGCCAGCCAAGCTGAGGATGACTCCAGACATCCCCTGGGAGGGTGGGACAGCCCTGCAGCTTGTTGATTTTAGTGTTTCCAGCTCTCACTCATCCCAGGGCAGGAGCACAGCCTCCCACACCCTCTGCAATAACCCCTCCTGGCAGGCTGCAGAGTGCATGTTGGCATTAATAATTTACCACTCAGCCTGTGTTAAACACCGCTTGCTGCAGGCCCAGGAGGATCTGCCTCTGTGGGACTTGCAAGTGCCCGGATAAGGCTGGATAAACGCAGGACTTTGCCCTCCTGAGGTATCTTTAGTGCCCTAATTCCTGCATTATTTATAAACAACCTTTCACTCAGCCTTTGAAGCGCGTCTGTCCTGCAGGAAACGCTCGGTAAACAAAGCTGAGCTGGGGCAGAGACTCCCTGAGCGACTCCAAACCCAGGACAGCAATTTGGTGTCGAGCAGTTTCTGGGCATCCACATGTCTGTGGCTCTGCAGTTCTCCCGTTTGCTCTTCCCTCGGTTTCCCTGTCCTCACAAGGAGGATTCAGGGATGATGGGGCAGCCAGGAGAGCTGGTGCTGCTCTCTGGGCATCCCCTGGCCATCCAGGACCTCACAAGAATTACAAATGCAAATGGAAGGCAGCAGGAATCACAGGGCATGACCCTCACCCCGAGGGCATCACCCAGTGCCACATCTAAACAGGGCCCAGAAGGAAGAGAAAATGAGGAAAGAAACTCCCAGGACACGCCTGGGGCTGGGGCAGGAGCTGCTGCGGGAAGTCTGAGCTGTGAATTCAGCCCCTGCCATGGCCCCGGGCCCCAGGGACACGTCCCAGTGCCCCAGCTGGCCCTCGGGCTCCTTCCTCTTTCCTGGGGACCGCTCCCAGAGGAGCGCTGCAGGCAGGAGAGCCCCTTCCAGGCCAGGAGCAGCTTGTTCCCACCCAAACCCCTCCGAGGGGAGCCACCAAAGGGTGCCCAGGTGCTCCCCAAATCCCTCAGCACCCTCGCCTGGGGGGCTGCAGGTGACAGCCAGCCCTTGTCCCCGTGCCAGGAGGGCTCTGCATCCTTCCTTCCCCGCATTTCCAGGATCCTGCAGCAATTTCCAGGGAGCTGAGCCAGCCCTGGCCGTGCAGCAATGGGGAACTGCTGTTCCCACAGCATTTCACAAGCCAGCGGCTCTGGGGTGCCTCAGAGTCATGGGATGAGGCTTTTCCACCCTGACCCTGTGTGGGGACACAGGAAGGGCTCCTGGCCCCTCTGTGCCTTGATTCCTTCCCTTCTGAGCAGGGAAATAAAACTGTTCCAACATGTCCCAGCAATCCCCAATATCCCTGGTTCGCTCCAGAGCGGCGCCAGGGAGAGAGGCAGTTCATCCCTGGGCACTGCTGCCCATCCCAGGAACCTGAGCAGGGCCCTCAGGGTCACTCCCTGCCCTCAGGACAGGTGGGAGAAGGAATTCTCCTCCATTCCCTGCTCCCAGTGACCCAGCAGAGGTGGGAGAAGGAATTCTCCATTCCCTGCTCACAATGACCCAGCAGAGGTGGGAGAAGGAATTCTCCTCCATTCCCTGCTCCCAGTGACCCAGCAGAGGTGGGAACTGTCCCCAGTGTCCCCACATGTCCCCGGGCCCATCCTTCCCCAGCCCTGGGCATCCCGGAGCAGGGAAAGACGTTTCCAGAAGAAAGGCAGAGTTATCCCCCTGCAGCCTCAGGGGCAGCCACATGCCAGTCCCGCTCCCAAAGCTCTCACACCCACCTGAGATGTGGAAAGCGTGCTCCTGCTGCCCGGGGCTCTGCCCAGCCCCCAGCTCCCGCACCTCCAGCTCCTTCAGAGGCAGCAGCCCCTGGGGAAGGAGAGCAGGGTCATTTTGGGCTCCATCCCGCAGCAACCCTCTGCCACGCTGAGGAATGGCTTTATATTCCATGCGGTTTGGGGCTTTTTCTTTCCATTTTAACAGAAACCTCGGTAAAATAATGGTGGTTCAACAGGAGAAAGCCAGAAAATGGGATTGGCCCTAGAGGAAGATTGAGCTGTCCAGTTCCCAGACTCTGGATGTTCAGATTCCCACTCTGGCAAAGGCCAGGAACAGGGGACAACTTTGTCCTCCCTCTTCTGGGCTCCCTAAACAACCTCCACAGAAGATGCTAATGGCTCTAATGCCTTGGGGCACATTAATTCCTTGTTAATTCCTCCACAATTAATAAACTCAGGAGCTGCTTCTAAAGGAGTCAGGAGAGTTTGGGATGTTGTTTGTCTCCTGACATGGGAATTTTCAGTTGAAGGCTGCCTTGGGGGTGACTGGAGAGGTTTTACTGATGTTTTACATCAACCTCAAGACCCCTAAAGGCTAATTAATCATTTCTAAGAGGAGCTAATTCTACAATCATCTCCCAAACACGCTTGGTTTTAGTTCCTCACTGGTGTGGAGGAAGAGAACATTCAGGGGCTGTTGTTTTACAGCTGTGGCTCTTTGGCTGAGGTGCAGAACAGCTCATTCATTATTTGTAACTCCCCAGCACCACCGGCTTAAAAGATTCATGAGTGGTTTGCCAGCAGAGCTCCCCGAGGCTCAGGTTTCTCTTCCCACCCTTTCCCACAGAATAATGAATGCTGGAAAAGCCCATCCTGCAGCTGGAGAACTCCCCCTTGGCCCCAGGGCCAGGGGAATTTTGGGTTTGCCAAGGGCTCAGCACAAAGGTGGCTCCAGGGCACCTGAGCACGGCCACTTCTCCTGCCTGTCCCACAGGGCCACACCAGGGCCCAGCTGCCCCTGAGCTGGGCTTTGGAACAAAACCCCCTTTTGGAGTTCAGCAGCCCCAGGAAGGGACCTGGGGACATCCCCTGGAGTTTGTCTGCCCGGTGCCCCCAGCGTGGCCGCAGTGCCCAGAGCCCAGCGCGCCCAGGTGATGCCCACCTGGTAGGTGAGGCCATTGGGACCCGTGGACTGGAAGTACAGGTAGGACTGGAACAGCTCCAGGAAGCAGTTGTTGACCTCCTGCAGAAGGGACACGTTTGGGGTTATCTCAGGACACCTTTGGGGTTATCTCAGGACACCTTTGGGGTTATCTCAGGACACCTCCCAGCCTCCCTCCGCATCCCAGGCTGATCCCTGCATGGGAAAGCTTCTCCAAGGGCCACATCTGTGCTCCTGGAAGCACTTCCCAGGTGCCCATTGGGACGATGCAGGTGGGCACCGTGTGGCCGTGCCCAGGGAATTCTCCACGAGTCCCATTTCCCAGAACCATCCCTCCCTTCCCAGCCCTGCCGGGTCACACCATCCCTGGGCAGAGAAACACCCCAAAGAGGCGTCTCAGCTTTACCTGGCAGTGCTGGAACTTAAACTTGACCTTGGAGTAATAAATCATTTTGCCCAAATTCCTGACAATCGTTTTCCTTCGGCCCTTCTTGAACAGGCTGGGGAACCTCTGGTCCAAGTTTTCCTTCTGGTTTTCCTGCTTCTGAATAATCTGTACCAAGGATACGAGAGGGGAACAACAGATGAGAGCTGGTGGAAGAGACATTCCCAGAACATCTTCCCAGCAGGGACTCCTCGGAAAGGCGCCCTGGGCAGGTGCCCAGGATGGGCTGTTTGTTTTTGGGTCTCCTTGCCAACGTGGGGCCGGGGCTCAGTTACTGCCGGGAGCAGGTCCTGCCCTAAAGCTGCGGGTTCTGGGCTGGAAAAGAGGGGGGCAGAGGCACATTTCACTTTCAGGGTGTCCCAGCGCCACAGAAAACCATCCCAGTGCGCCCAGTGCCTTCCACGGGGCTGAGGGAAAGGTTTCCTGTGCTCTCATTCCAGCTGGGTTCCCATCTCGGGTCCCTGCTCGGGGTTTCTCTGGCTTCCAGGTGCGGACAGTTCTGGGGCAGAGCCTCACAGCCACAGAAACGGCTGCAAGGCAGATTTTTGTCCCTGCAAAAAGCCTGGAAAAGCTACAGGAATGCAGGGAGCAGCACGGGAGAGCCAGGGCTGGGGAGAGGAGGCAGCACACGGGGCCGGGGGCTTCCCGGATTTCCCAACGGGAATTCTTCCTCTGTGCAGCACAGCCCCACAGCCCTCACTTCTCACACCGGGGAATGAAGTTTCCTGCGCTTTTCCCGGGAAGAGCACTTGGATTGCTGGGGCTGTCCTGGGGAGAAGGGAAGATCCAGCGATCCCGCCTGCGGAGCCTGGAACCTGAGCTTTGCCAGGCACTTCCAGACCCCGGGAATGCATTCCCAAGGCAGGGCTGGGCGAGGGGAGGCTCGCGGTGCTTCCCTGCGGGTCAGCAGGGCCGCTGACACCCCCGGCACGTCCCCGCTCCCGGTGCCATCCCCGCTGTGCCAGGGACAGCTGCGGGTGCCCGTGATGGATGAGGATGAGGAAGAGGCACAGACACCCAGCTCCGTCCTGCGGGGCCCCTCCGTGACTCACCCCGCAGGCATGGGGTCAGTCATCCCGCTCCAGACACGGCAGGGAGCCGGGAATGGAGCAGGGGAACCGGGAATGGAGCTGGGAACTGGGAATGGAGCGGGAATGGAGCAGGAATGGAACTGGGGAACTGGGAATGGAGCGGGAATGGAGCTGGGAATGGAGCTGGGAATGGAACTGGGAATGGAGCTGGGGAACTGGGAATGGAGCGGGAATGGAGCTGGGAATGGAGCTGGGGAACTGGGAATGGAGCTGGGGAACTGGGAATGGAGCGGGAATGGAGCTGAGAATGGAACTGGGGAACTGGGAATGGAACTGGGGAACTGGGAATGGAGCGGGAATGGAGCTGAGAATGGAACTGGGGAACTGGGAAGGGAACTGGGAATGGAGCGGGAATGGAACTGGAGAACTGGGAATGGAGCTGGGAACTGGGAATGGAGCCGGGAATGGAGCTGGGGAGCTGGGAATGGAACTGGGAATGGAACTGGAGAACTGGGAATGGAGCTGGGGAACTGGGAATGGAACTGGGAATGGAACTGGAGAACTGGGAATGGAGATGGGGAACTGGGAATGGAACTGGGAATGGGACTGGGAATGGAACTGGGGAGCCGGGAATGGAACTGGGAATGGAACTGGGAATGGAACTGGGAATGGAACCTGGAATGGAACTGGGGAACAGGGAATGGAGCGGGAATGGAGCCAAGGAACCGGGAACAGGAGCCCAAAGCGGTCAGGACCCTCCCACCTGCAGAGCACAGGGCTCCTTCCAGGGCCTCGCTGAATTTGGGTTGCTGTTTTTAGGACATGAGTTAACCCTTTCCTGCTGAAATCCTCCCTCCAAATTCCCAGCTATGGAACAGAACTTAGGGAACACCCTGGGTGCCCAGTAAAGGTCTCACTGGGGCAGCTCGGCGCAGGAAAATGGTATTTGTGCCACAAATGCAGAGCAAAGAGCAGCTGGTGACAAAACACAGCTCGGATAAGGGCACCAGCAGCACCTGGGAGCGGGGACAGGGCGAGGTGATAAAATTGTGGGCACGGAGATAAGGAACAGCGCCAGGCTCCAGCTGCCAGGGCACTGCTGCTGCCTGGGACGATTCCCAGGAATGAATAAGGCACCCAGAATCTGGGAATGCAGCAGCAGCACCGGGAAAGAGCTTCCAGAGGGATGGGAGAGCTTCCACAGCCACTGGTGTGGCAAGGAATAAATGGAATACTTCCCTCCCCAAACGAGTTTGGGAGGGGTGGCAGCGAGGCTGAGGAGAGGGATGTAATGGCTGAGCACAGGAGCAGCTCCAAGGCCATGGAAAACCGGGATCGCATCCCTGAAATCTGCTGCCCCTCCAGCTAAAGGGGCCGGGGTTTTCCCTGCCGCTGGAATTCTCGGCAGGCCGGGCCGTGCAGTCTCCTCCAGCCCCATCCCGGTTCCCGTTATCCCAGCGCTGCCGGTCCCTGGGAAGGGCTGCTCCGGCCGGGGAGCGGCTGTCCCGACACGCTCCCAGCGTTCAGGTAGAACGAGTTCCTGAGCGAGCGCTCGGCCGCGCTGAATCAGCGGCAGGAGGAGCCCAGCGCTGCCCCGGGGCTCCCGGGGCTGCTGTTCCATGAGAAAGGCACGGAGCCCCCCCGGAGCCCTGGGAACGGGGCGGGGAGCGGGATGTGTCCGTCCTGCGCTCACAGCCGGGCCGTGCCAGCAGCTCCCGGGAGGTTTCTCCCTGCGCTCTGCCCCCAAAATCGCGGCTGGGGACAGGGGCAAAGCCCAGGCTCCTCCAGGCCGCACAGGGAGCTGGGCCGAGCCGGGAGGTTGCATCCCCTCTGCCCCAGGCGAGGGTGAAGGCCAAAATCCTGCTCCCCGCTCCTTCCTCCGGTGCTGGAGAGATCCCGGGAGCTCCCAGGCCAAGCATCTCCCTTCCCCAGGACCCACCAACACTGACGGCTCATCCTGCCCCCCACGGAACCGGCCAGGATCCGTCTGGGACCTGGTTTTTGCTGCCTGGTCCCTTTGGATCCAGCCGATTCCCACGGGGAGCCTTTCCTGGAATTCCCTCTGCCTGGCACTGAGGCCGTGCCTCAGTTTCCCCTTGCCCACACGCACGGGATTGATGAACACCCAGCGCAGCCCAAACGCTCCCAGAACTCCACCCACACCTCTGGCCCACCCAGCGGGACCCTCGGGGGCTCCTGGCTCCCCTCTGCTCCCCCGAGCAGCGCTGGGAACGGGGCCATGTGGCCACAAGGCTGGGCCGTGCCCGGGGCAGCCCTGCCCTTCCTGATTCCCTTCCCAGGCTCCTCGCTAATCCGCTCCTGCTCCGTCTCATTCCGGCGTGGGAATGAATCACCCCACCTGCCAAAGTTCGCTCGGCTTTTCCCTTCCCTCGCAGGCGGCCCAGAAACAAAAGAACCGAGAGCAAAAGGTGTGGGGGAGATGTCCCCAGGTCCCCCTGTCCTCATGT